TATTTTTTACAGTTTTTTTTCCTGTAATTGATATCTAGTCTTATAGCATTGTGGTCAGAGAAGATACTTGATACAACTTCAGTTTTCTTAAATTTATCGAGGCTTGATTTGTGACACAAGATATGATGTATCCTGGAGAATGTTCCATGGGCACTTGAGAAGAAAGTGTATTCTGTTGTTTTTGGATGGGATGTCCTATAAATATCAGTTAAGTCAATCTTGTTTAATGTATCATTTAAAGCTTGTGTTTCCTTATTTATTTTCACTTTGGATGATCTGTCCATTGGTGAAAGTGGGGTGTTAAAGTCCCCTACTATGATTGTGTTACTGTCGATTTCCCCTTTTATGGCTGTTAGCATTTGCCTTAGGTATTGAGGTGTTCCTATGTTGGGTGCATAAATATTTACAATTGTTATATCTTCTTCTTGGATTGATCCCTTGATCATTATGTAGTGTCCTTCTTTGTCTCTTGTAATAGTCTTTATTTTACAGTCTATTTTGTCCGATATGAGAATTGCTACTACAGCTTTCTTTTGATTTCCATTTGCATGAAATATCTTTTTCTATCCCCTCACTTTCAGTCTGTATGTGTCCCTAGGTCTGAAGTGGGCTTCTTGTAGAAAGCATATATACGGGTCTTGTTTTTGTATCCATTCAGCCAATCTATGTCTTTTGGTTGGAGCATTTAATCCTTTTACATTTAAGGTAATTATCGATATGTATGTTCCTATTACCATTTTCTTAATGGTTTTGTGTTTGTTTTTGTAGATCTTTTCCTTCTCTTGTGTTTCCTGCCTAGAGAAGTTCCTTTAGCATTTGTTGTAAAGCTGGTTTGGTTGTGCTGAATTCTCTTAACACTTGCTTATCTGTAAAGGTTTTAATTTCTCTGTCGAATCTGAATGAGACCCTTGCTGGGTAGAATAATTTTGGCTGTAGGTTTTTCCCTTCATCACTTTAAATATGACCTGCCACTCCCTTCTGGCTTGCAGAGTTTCTGCTGAAAAATCAGCTGTTAACCTTATGGGGATTCCATTGTATGTTATTTGTTGCTTTTGCCTTGTTGCTTTTAATATTTTTTTCTCTGTATTTAATTCTTGATAGTTTCATTAATATGTGTCTCAGCATGTTTCTCTTTGGATTTATCCTGTATGGGACTCTCTGTGTTTCCTGGACTTGATTAACTATTTCCTTTCCCATGTTAGGGAAGTTTTTGACTATAATATCTTCAAATACTTTCTTAAACCCTTTCTTTTCCTCTCCTTCTTCTGAGACCCCTCTAATTCAAACGTTGATGCATTTAATGTTGTCCCAGAGGTCTCTGAGACTGTCCTCCATTCTTTTCATTCTTTTTTCTTTATTCTGCTCCCTGGCAGTTATTTCCACCATTTTATCTTCCAGCTCACTTATCCGTTCTTCTGACTCATTCTGTTATTGATTCCTTCTAGAGTATTTTTAATTTCAGTAATTGGGTTGTTCATCACTGTTTGTTTGCTCTTTAGTTCTTCTAGATCCTTGTTAAATGTTTCTTGTATTTTCTCCATTCCGTTTCTGAGATTTTGGATCATCTTTACTATCATTACTCTGAATTCTTTTTCAGGTAGGTTGCCTATTTCATCTTCATTGCTCCATCATCTGTTACATATTTCGTCTTACCTTGCTCCTTCATCTGTAACATATTGTTTTGTCGTTTCATTTTTTTTTTTTTTTTTTGGTGGGTGGTGCTATCTTACTGGCTGTTTGGCCTGAGGCGTCCAGCACTGGAGTTTGCAGGCAGTTGGATACAGCTGGGTCTTGGTGCTGAGATGAGGACCTCTGGGAGGCCTCACTCCAACTGATATTCCCTGGGGTCTGAGGTTCTCTGTTAGTCCAGTGGTTTGGACTCAGAGCTCCCACCACAGGAGCTTGGCTGGACCTCCAGCCTGAGAACCAAGATCCAGCAAGCTTCGTGGCACGGTAAAAGTAAAATAAAGAAAAGGAAGAAAAAAAAGGAGGAGTACAATATCAAAGAATAAAAAACAAAATAAAATTAGAAAGATAAAAAAGATATTAGGAAAAATAAAACTATAATTGAAACAACTGAGACAAGGTAAAAAAAAACCACAACAGAAAAAAGAAAAACGGGGAGGGGGGAGAACAAGCCAAAAGGAGAGAACAATAATAAAGTATAAAGAATAAAATAAAAGATTTATTAGGAAAAATAAAAATATAAAAGAATCCACAGCAATGAATCAACAAGGTAAAATGGAACCCCAATCTAAAAGAGGAAAAAAGAAAAATCAAAAACCCTTGGCTATGGGGGCGGAGTTTAGGCGGGGGTGCAACTTAGGCAGGGGTGGGGTTTAGGGTCGGGCGGGACCTAGGTGGGTGGGGGGTGACGTTCAAGCGTGTGGCGGTGTCTCTGATTAGGACCTGCAGGGGAAGGGGAGAGGCGGCTTGTGGAAAGGAGGGCGTCTGGAGTGTGGCGTTCTGGAATTTGGAGGTAGGGCCCTGGGTGAGGGGGTGTGTGTGGGGTTTATGCCCAGCGCGTTGGAGGGGGTCTCAGAAGGGGTGTCCGAGTGTAGAGGTGGGGCCCCGGGTGGGGGTGTAGGGGCGGGGCTTGGGAGGCTCCGAGGACAGAGGATCAGGCCCGGGAGCCCAACAGGCTTCCTGATGCCTAAGTGGACGGGGAAAGCACTGGCAGCATTCCCTTCTGTTCCTTCGTGCCCCTCCCCACTGTTGCCGCTGGACCCCTAACCATGGGTGGGTCCCGCTGGGTGTAGGAACTCCTCCCCTCCCCCAACCACCCCTCAGGGGTGTCGGTCCCAGAGGTCCTGCCTTTACTTTTGCTCCCCCTTCCCTCCCTCCCCCTCCCTCAGGACCCACATGGCTGGAGGGGGCCTCGGTGGGCAGAGGATCAGACCCAGAACCTCAGCAGGTTCTCCTAGAGGCCCAAGTGGGCAGGGGAAACCTGGCCACGCTCCCTTTTGATCCTCTGCCCTCCCAGGGGTTCCCCAATTTCCCCCTTCGGGCGTGAGATCCCTTCCCCTCCCCCAGCCGCCCCTCAGGGGCGCCAGTCCCGGCCCGCCTCCACTTCTCCCCCCTTCACTCCCCCCATGCCCCACGTTCTATCTGGTCACTGGGGGTTCCTCCCATACCCTTAGGTGTGCGTGGTCCCCCACTGGTGCCTGGTAGATGCCCTAGTTGTGAGGAGACGCGAATTCCGCGTCCTAGTAGCCATCTTGACTCCGCCCACCTATCTGAATTAGTTTCTGAGAGACCTCGTGAATGGGAATCATAAAGAATCACTCTGGGCATTTTTCCACCGGGCACGAGCCCAGGGACCATCGTGGGGGCAGGGCTGATGGAAGTGGGGCTCCCTGAAATGTGGCCAGTTCTTCAGAGGAGAGAGGGTGCTCAGAAGAGACCATCTCCTTCTGGCATCTTACCTCTGTCTCACTTGATGGACCAGAATAAATTTCAACTCCCATGGAGACCAGACAAGAGAAGCCCTCCCTGCTCTGGGATGCTTACTTTATAGGACTCTGTCCTGTAGGGCCAAGACCAGGGTGAGGCAGGAGCCAGCTGGCCCTTTGGGCTGTTGAGACCCATGCCTCACTTGCCTCATCCTGTCCTGGCCCTTTTTGACCAGACTCTCCCTGAGGGGAGAAGCTCACAGGGCTGAGCTAATATGCCCACCCAGAGCCCATGTGCCCCCTTCTAGACCCTGGGATTCAAGTAGCCCTGAGACTGCACAGGCCTCTGTCCCTGAGGGCAGACCCCACTGGTGGGCGCCCCCCTCAAAGCAGGATTAGTGCCTCACGTGGCTCCCACAAGACCCTGGGTAGGACCAGCTCTCCCGACGCCACCATGCTCCGGGACAGAATCCAAAGACGCAAGGATTCTAAATTCACATCTGGCCTTTCACATCCTTAAGAAAGTATATTTGTCATGGCAAGAGGAGAGAACTTTCTTTCCTTTTTTTATTTTGGCCGTATCTCATGGCTTGTGGGATCTTAGTTTCCTGACCAGGGGTTGAACCTGGGCCCTCGGCAGTGACAGCACGGAGTCCTAACCACTGCACCGCCAGGGAATTTCTAGGAGAGAACATTTTTAATTTAACAGTTTTTTAGTTTGATGTCACTTTTAACTATTTAGCTATATGGTGTTTGGCCTTCTACCCACACAAATGGTAAAGTGGGCCCGAGGGAAGCAGCCTGGAGAGGGCGACAAGATTCAGAAGCCCCTTGGACTTCCCTGGTGGCGCAGTGGTTAAGAATCCGCCTGCCATGCAGGGGACACGGGTTCGATCCCTGGTCTGGGAAGATCCCACATGCCGCGGAGCAGCTAAGCCCGCGAGCCACAACTACTGAGCCCGCGTGCCTAGAGTCCGTGCTCCGCAGCAAGAGAGGCCACCGCAATGAGAAGCCCGTGCACTGCAACGAAGAGTAGCCCCCACTCACCTCAACTAGAGAAAGCCCGCGCGCAGCAACGAAGACCCAATGCAGCTAAAAATAAATAAATAAAATAAATGAATTTATTAAAAAAAAAAAGATTCAGAAGCCCCTGTGGGGAAATGACCGCACCCCTCCCCCCCCACACACACACATGCACTCAACACACACGCTACTACAAGTCTGTATTTCTGGTGTATGACCACTGTGGTTGATTCTTTCTGGTAATTTATGACTAGGTCTGCCAGGTTAGCATGTTGAGGGGTGTGGGGTTAGCATGGTCACCCTGAAGGATGAGGACTTTTTGGTGAGAAAGAAGCATCGTAGTCTGCGTGAGAACTCCCCTGACATTGACCATGGAGGGGGCAGTAAAGGTGGTAGGGGCCCTGTAGGTGGAAACTGGCCAGAGTCTTGAGGGTTAGGGGACAAATTCTGCAGAGCCTTCCCCAGACTCCTCACATTTCTCCTCCTCCCTCCTCTCCCCTCAGGCCCCTCAGGTTTCCCACAAAACACACACACACACAAATACACAGGCACTCACACAAACATACACCCAGACACACACACAGACACATACAAATACACAGACGTATACCCAGACACACACAGACACAGAAACACACAGGCACACAGGCATCCATACACACATAGTACGGATGACATCCCCTCCCAGGGGCCACCCCCCGTCTCTCAGACCTTCCTCTCTTCTCTCTCCCACCACCAGACCCATTAAAACTGACTTTGTACAAAGAGTGGCCCATTTTTGGTGGCCCCAAGAGAAGTACGATGTCATCAAGAGAGAGGTGGGTGGTGTAGCCTTGGACACACGTGCAGAGGCGACACTGGATCCTGTCCACAGCTACTTTCAGCTAAAAGGTTCTGGATCCCAGCCCCAGGCCAGGCTAGGCTGTGATAAAAGTCATTTGCTGACTGTGTCCATTACCAGGGCCATGAGTGACAGCCGAGCCCAGCCTGGGGCCCTTTCTTTCGGGGTCCCCACTGGCAGCACTGCCTGTCAGGCCCAGCACGTATGTGCCCCTGGGGTTAGAGATTCAAGGACCCAAGCTGCCTGCCATTGGTTCCTGCAGGGGGAAGGCTGGAGAGTGGGGGGAGGGGGCACTCTGGCCCCTGGTAGTTGGAGAGTTGGCCTAAGTAGACCCCTCCCAGCCTCACCTTCACTTGCACCCCACAGCCTTTGCAAAAAGACTGACAAGGGTCTGACTTTCTCCGAGCCCCACAGCATCCCCACCTGCTCCCGCCTCTCCTCCCCCGGATCCGCTGTACAAATACAGGGCTACTGCCAAGCTGTGGGAACAGTAAATCTTCCTCACTCTTTTATTCATGCCCTCGCGTCTGCAGACAGTGCCGAGGAAAAACAAACCCCACCAAATCCCTACGGACTCTAGCAGTCTGGCAGCCTCTTCTTTGCTCCTCTCTGATCCCCTCCAGGAGGCAGAGGCCAGGAGAAGAGACCGACCCAGCTCTGATGCGGGTGGCAGCTCCCCCCGCCCCCCGCCGCCATCCCCTCCTCCTGAGGGAGCTCAGCGAGCACCTGTCACATGCTGAGCCCTGTACCACGCTCTGGGGAGCAGAAATCAGTGAGACCTGGGGAAACTGGGCGGTCAGTATTCCTGGCTTCCAGGAGAAGCTTGCTCAAAACATATGGCAAGATGAGTTGCGGCTGCCCTGGGTGCCGTCCGAGGAGCCACCGAAGGGAAGGATGGGCAGCCAGGTCAGCTGCGGCCCCTGTGGAAGGAGGGACTCTCGCTCCAACAGCCTCTGGACCAAGGCAGCATCTCTGCAAAAGAGTCCAGATCTTGAGAATTCCTGGGAGCCTCTCCTCCTGCAACTCTGGGCCACCAGGGAAAGCTGCTTTTAAGCTCAATCAGACCAAAGGGGGACTGGAGGAGGCCAAGGGGAGCTGGATTTTGCCTTTTATACAGAAGAGAGGCGATGGACTTAGCATGACCCACTGTCTTGTTTGCCCAGGACTGCAGGGTTTCTGGGGACACGGGACTTTTGGTGTTACAACTGGGACAGTCCTGGGCAATCCGGGAAGGTGGGGTTCCCCTAACTGAGGGGCCATGGGAAAGGCTCCACCCTCTGTGAGCCTGACACATGGCTCGGGACAGAGGACAGCTTGGACCCAAGCTGCCTGGTAATGGTTCTGCGGGCGGAAAACTTTCTTCACTACTGGGCCACGTGCAGGAGGAAAGGCTGGAGAGCAGGGGGTCCTGTGGGCAGCTCAGGAGCTGTCAAGGGAAAGTAGGCAGAAGAAAAGTGTCTGCAGACTTCAGGGCAGGGAGGAAATTCCCTCACTGTCTCTAGGGAGCTGGCACCCATGGGGCCCCACCCAAAGCCTGGGGTGTTGGGAAGTGAGCTGGGGAGCCCCTGAGAAAACCTGTCCTTGAACCTTCACCAGTGTACATGGGACACGGGGAAAGATGGCTTTAAAATCTTCTGCCTGGTGCCTCATCCTCCCAGGACCCAGAGGGCAGTCAGAGCGCTGTCCTGGAGAGGGCCTGACACAGCAGAGCAAGCTTGTTCCTTTAGATCTGTCCCAGGGAACAAGCTCTTCTCCATGGGTGTCCCGACTGGATGTTGGGGGTTGCAGATAGATGTCTCCAGAGGCAGCAGGGGTTTGTGTTAAAGGCGGCCTGATAAGGCAGATCCCACGGAGACGCCCTCACCCAGACCCCTTATTTGATAGATGGGAGACCAAACTCCAAGAAGGCTGAGTCACTAGCTTAGGGCAGCGCACTCTCCAGTGGTTAAAGACCCAGACGGGACTGTCCACCATCAGATGCCACAGCCAGAGATTCCTTGGAAGGGAGGATGCACAGAAGATAAGCCCAGGCCTGTGAAAGCCCCCGCCTTCCTGTCACATTAGTGACAGATCACGCCTTCTGGAGCCAGGACTCCTCTCTCCATTCTGTTGAGTCCCCAGCGTGGTCCAGCCCAGCACCAAGCCCAGGAGAAAACCCACCAGCAGATTTCCCTGCACTGCTCGGCCCTGGGGCTCCAGGGCACAGGAAATCTGCAGAGGGTGCCTGCAGGCTCTGCCTCTCCCTTTCCTGGCCTCAGAATGTGTAAGAAAGGCCAGCTTCACCTCTCAGTAGGAAGCTGCTCCCTACCTACGATAAGGAGCCTTCCTAGAGGTGGAGGTATTTAAGACACGGTTTAAAGGGCCATTAAGCATACTGGGCTGCAATGAGTTTAGCAGGAAGCAGAGCCCCAGTGACGCAAACACAAAGATACATTCTGGTGTGTCTAGTAGGGAGGTGGGGAGGGATCCAGACCCAGGATGACGAGGGAGGCGCAAGAGTGGGAGCAGGTGTAGGTGGGTTCTCTTTTGAGCAACCAGGAGGGTCCTAAGTACATGGCCAGGAGAGGGCAGAGAAGGAAGAAGAGAGAAAAACAGTGGGGAGACTCAGGAAAACCATCTCCTGACAGCTACTGTACCACCCTCTAGCATTTACAGCATTTCCAGTTTCGTCCTATTGTGGGTGAACCCAACACTTCCAAAAATAAAATGCAGGAAACAGCCCGAGAAATGTTTCCGAGGAATGACAGAGCTGCCCCCTCGTTCACAGCAACTCTCCTAGGAGAAGCAGGACTCCACGGAAAGTCTAACAAGGAGAGAGAGCCTGCACCCCGCTGTACCCTCCAGACCCCCAAAGCACAGAGAAGGAGTAGATGAGAGAAGGGCTCTACCCTGGGCCTGGCAGCCAGGAGCCACCTTCCTGGGAAGTCTCAGGAGGCTGGCAAGCCCTGCCCAGGCAGATGGGATGCTGAACCCCTGGGGAGAGAGACAGGTTTCCTGCACACAGAAATGCCCTGACTTAGTCAACAAGAGGCCCTTGGAGCTCCCTTAGCAATTACTGCCGCACCACTCAGCCTCGTGCCTGGCTGGCCGCTAATAATTTATTGCAAATACGTCTCATGGCTCCAATAAGGCAGCCGCTTCTCTGCCTCTGAATTCCCTGCAGAGCGTCACACAGCTGGGCACCCAGCTGGTCCTCATTAAAATCCTTCCGGACCTGCATCTTGTCACCCTTCTTTGCTCCCATCTCCAGCCCTGCCCTCCAGCAGCCGGCCCAGGGCACCCACTTTTCCTCACTTTCCTAAGGGCTGGATTGGTAGCTGCCAATACAGGAAGGGCAGGTGAGAGCCTCTGAGTCTGTAGATCTGACTCGTGGCCTGGTGAAAGATACCAGGACCTTCCATAGGTAAACAGGGAGTCGTTATTAGCAAATTCTCTAATTAGGATTCTCTTTATCGTCCTCCTGTGGAAAATACTCATTTGTAACACTTTAAGTCAGACCATGCAGAACTGGAAATCTGTAAGAACGTTGCCCAGGAAGGGTCCCTGGCAGGAGCCTCTTCCCAGGTTTTGGTTACCTCACCTATAAAAAAGAGGGATGGCAATGCCTTACTGTAGGCAGGTGACTAAACAACCTTCCCATTCTATACTTCTGTGCAATATTGGACCATCTCGTTCATCCGTGTGCAAAACAATGATGTGGATTTGGCGTGAAAAGACTCGAAGTTCCCATCCTGGCTTTGGCGCTTATTAGCGGGCTGGTCCTGGGGAAGTCACTTCAGCTTTCTGAATGAATTTTCTCACCTGTGAAATGGGCATGATAATAATATCTTCACCACATAGATGGTGTGAGATCTAAATGGGATACCACGTGTGAGCAGGATTGATAAACCGTAAAATAGTATCCAAGTGTTACTGGTTATTAACAGATCATAATGACTGTGGTAAATAAAAAGCTCCCTTTAAATAAGCAAACGCCTATGGGCAACAACAGAAACACAAAAAAGATCATCGCTGATGGATTTGCTGGTAACTCTTCCCTGCCCAGGGAGATAGGCAGCCCTGAAACTGCCTCTTGAAGTGGGGACCCACCAGAGTCAGGTAGTAAATGCTGATCTCGGGATGGAGGCTGGATGTCTCGGGGCTCTCAGAACACAGGGTCAGACTACCCACCACCTGCCAGGGCCTCACCCACGTTGCTTCTGCAGTTGGGCAGCAGACTCCCAGCAGCCACTTCCCCAGCTGTTTTTAAACGACAGTAAATTGTGGCCCTTTTTTTTCTAATGCACTTCTTTGCAAAGGAAGCAGACCCTCCAGGAATGAATATTCATTTGTACTATCCCTCAAAAAAATGCTGATAAACTCCCGAAAAAGTTGTGTTATTGCTAAACGCTAATTGCATTTCCTTGGGTAAGCACCATAAAAAATTCATTGCAGCTTTTAGAAATAAGATACCAATTGCATTTTAATCGCTGGAGAGGAGAGAGTGGGGGAGAAGCTTAACCAGGAAAATGCTAACTGGGCAGAAACTCAGAAAGACATCTCCCGAGCCAGAAGGCCCAGTCCTGAAACAAGAGCTGAGGAGAGATGGGTCTCGTGGGGAAGCCAGACCCTCCCGGAGGGAGCACTGACTCAGTGGCACTCAGACTTGCAGCATCAGAGCACCTGGAAGGCTGGGGCTTTCTATTGTCAATCATGACATGTAGATTTAACAAATGTACAGAATTATATGAGCAGGAGTCAGTTCCAGAGCTTTAAGAAACATGTATGGGAGGAAAATTGTAATTCTACTACCCCTTAATGTAGGTGTGAGAGAAAGAGAGAGAAGGGGGGTGGGGGGAGGACGGGACCAAGGCCATATATCATTTCACTTTAATACCAGAAGACCTGGACCAGTTCACAGAACTGTCATTTAAAACCTACACCCTGTTCCAACACCAAGCAGAGTGTTCTTACAGTGCCCCTGCCCCCCCCCCCCGCCCCCCGCCCCAGCAGGGCCAGTCAGAGCCAAGTGAGAGCAGGAAGTAGGTGAGATCGACAGAAGAGTGGGGCGGATCCTGACTCCATGGGCTTCACCTGGGCTGGTCCAGCCTTGACCCCATCTGCCCAGGAGCTTCCCAGCCTGGGTCTGTAGGGAGGCACTTCCCCCACCTGAGAGCACAGGGAGAAGGCAGGCCCAGGGCATCCCTGAGCATCCTCCCAAAAGATGAGCACAGGGGCTGGGGTGGGGGTGGGGGCAGAAGGGCAGGCTCCCGGCCGCCAGCACCCTCTTCCTCTCCAGCTGCTCACTCCCCACCTCCCGGCTCCCCGACCTTCCCAACCCAACCCCAGCTTCTCTCCTGTCATTGAGGCTCTCTGGTGAGATAGAGGGGCTGGAAATCAGGGCTGGAGGGGAGAGGCCCTGTGGCCTGGGGGCTGGCCAGTGGGTGGTGACTGTCTCTTGTGCAGTGATAAGAGATCCACACCTTCTGCATCCGGGGCTGCTGCTTCTCCTCCATCTAGTGGACCTGCCAGAGACCCCAGGAAACATGAGGCTGGTATGCAATGAGACTGAGGAAACAACAGGACCAGGGGAGGGAGTCCTGGGCTGAAAGAGAAAGGAGCTGATCTACAGAGCGGCTCCACCCTCGCTTAGCCGAGTAACTAGCATTTTAATAAATCACTTAACCACTCAGAACCTTCATTTCCACTTCTATCCAATGGGGCTAAAATATCTGCTTCTCTAGGTTTTTTGTAAGGTTTGAATGAGAAGGTGGATGCCTAGGTCACCTGTAAACTCTACAGTTTATTATCTACCACCTGCCCTGAGCCCAACCTTGCAGAAGGATGCTTCCCACGATCACACCCTGCATTTGTAAAGTACTTTATACAGATCACGTGCTTTTATACACATTCTCTCACTTGGCTCTTCCCCTGAACGGATGAAGTGGAGTGGCCGGCCCAGGATCACACAGAATGAATCAGTGGCTGAACTCAAACTGCTAGATGCTGAGCTCTCTCCCTAGGGCAGGGAGAGCAGGCACGACCAGGGATGAGTAATGGTCATAAGTAAGTACATAATAACACCTGGATCACTCACTCTAAGCCTGGCGCTGGGCAGGCCTTAACTCATGTCATCGTCACATATGACGGCATATACAGTAGCCACGATGGTTACTACCAGGACACTGAGGTTTACCAAATTCCTGTAGGAATTTGCCACAGGCCACACAGGAAATGGAAAATCTGGGCTACAAATTCAGGTTAACTCTTCCTTAGTGAATGCTTAAATTAATAGAATGGATTCAACGTTATAAGCATCACTTCTTCCTTCTCCCAGTCTGGGAATATTCCCCAGCTCCCAGCAGGGCCCAGGCCCGAGGGATGAGGGTCACGGTTTCCGAGGGTTACTGGTCCTTCACAAAAAGGTCTGCCCCACCTGCCCCCCGACTCACCTGCGCCGTGTCCTGGATCCAGTCCAGGAATTCGGCAACCTTGGCGTAGACGCCGGGGTGGTTGGGCTCTGCGCAGCCGCGGCCCCAGCTGACCACGCCCACCAGGCGCCACGTGCCCTTGTCCAGGCACACCAGGGGACCCCCGCTGTCCCCCTGCGGCATCCAGGCACCGGGACACAGAGTAACAGGCAGTTAGTCCTTCCTGGTGGAGTGGCGGCAGACCACTCCCCAACCGCTGACCCCGGGGCTGGGAACACAGGCGGTCCTGCTTCCAGGACGATCCCGTCTTGCCTCGCGCCCCCCTTCAACCCGCAGCGCGCTGCCCACTTGCCTGGGCGCCCCGCTCGCGGAGAGGATGTCAGCCGGGCGCCCGGCCGCAGACCCCGCCCACCCCACACCGGGCCCCCGCCCGCCCGCACCTGGCACGCGTCGGCCCTCTGGTCCAGGTAGCCGGCACACAGCATGCGGGGCGTGAGGGCCCCGCTGTACACGCAAGAGCTGTTGCAGAGCTGGGTGCTGAGCAGGGGCACCACCGTGTCCCGGAGCGTGTCCGACCTGTGGGCTGCGGGAGGCAGATGCGGAGATGGAGGGGCGCAGAGCGAGGCCCGGGAAAGCAGGGCAGCAAGAGGGCCTTCGAGGCCCCGGAGGTGCGGAGGCCCAAAGAGGGGAGCCCAGGATGGGAGCTGTGGACTCTGGGTGAGGAGGCAGGGGTCCGTCAGACTTGGGGGCTGGGAGCAAAGAGGAGTAGACCCCACACATACACCCTGATGCTGAGGCCGTGGCCCTCCTGGGAGAAGGGGAGGGGGAGGAAGGGGCCTGGGTTTAGGGGAAAACACCAGGTTGTTCTCCCAGAAAGACCCAGGCAGGGGAGACTGGGGCCCCTGGGTCTGGCCAAGGGTGATGCCAGAGGAGAAGGGGGCTGGTGCTGCCCTGTGGCCAGGGAAGGAGGAGGTGCCTCACCTTGGGAAAGGATGCCTCCCCGACACCCACACCCCTGTGCACCCCGGGCCCTGGGAGCTGACTCACTGTGGCTGGGGTCAGTGTGGCCCCAGCCAGACACCCAGCACTGCGAGCCCCTTGGAAAATCCTGCTCTTCAGCCGGCAGGCACACGGCGCCCACGGTGTCTGTGGAGAGGCAGGGGTCCCGGGTCCCACTCCGGCTCGGCCTCCCTGCCCGCGAGCCTGGGAAAAGGACCAGGGCGGGCGTGTCCTCCACGCCCCCTTCTCAAACAGTCCTGGCTCCGGCCTCCCGTACAGCCTTGCGGGTCAGGTACTGCCCCCCCTGGGAGCCACCATTCACGCAGAGGACAGTGTGGAAACTGCAGTGTGCCTGGTGCCCTAGGCCGGGCGGTATACACACGGTGCATCCCCACCTAGGGCTGAGGGGGGATAGAAACTCCTTCTGGGTGTTTGTACCTAACTTCTCCTAATGAGGACCCATTTTGGATTTTCCCCAGGGTGTGTGGACCCTCTTGGGACATGGTTTCCAAAAGTGTGCGACCTGTCCTGTGGGCAGAGCCTGAACCTGATTTTACGTAATGCATAGACCTGCCGTTAGATAAACGCCACTTCGCTGGGAGAAAGTATTTCCTCTTCGGTTCTCTTTCAGCCCCTCTTCTGCACCAAGGAGAAAGCGTCTGTCTGGTGCTACTCTGTGCCTCTCTTCACGCCTGCCCACTCCTTCCAAGCACAGAGAGCCTGACGCGGCAGTTCCGCAGAGCACAGCGCCTAGCTGGGACCTGAGCACTGTTTTGTTTTCACTCTGTGCATTTTTGTGGTTATTATCTATTTAATATAAGTCATATGGATTCTCCAATTATGTAGTAACCTAACATTTCCCTTTAAATACATTCATGTCAATTTAGAAGCATTAACTGTTGAACAACGGTGCAGAGAGCACCCATATACGGTAGAATTTGTGAACAGCATAGAGCAGCCACTGTTGCTGGGGAAACCCAAGGCTCCAGGTAGCAATGGGAGGGAGGAGTGCTGAGTGTGTGTGTGTGTGTGTGTGCGTGTGTGTGTGTGTGTGGTGTGAGAGTAGGTGTGCACAGGAGTAGGTGTGCATACTTATGTGAGCCTTGCATGAGTATGTGAGCGTGTAAGGGCATGCACACGTGTGTGTGTGTATGTGCGAGCATGTGTGTCTGTAGGTGAGTGCACTTGGCACGTGCGTGTGGAAGAGCTGCCCTTCAAGCAGATGCTGTGGAGGAGACGCTCTGCCCCGGGAATTGTTTGCCTCGTCAACTTGAAGAGAGTCAATTCGCTCTCTAAAGGTCAACATCCTTATCTACATACACCAGCCTCAGCTCCCCGTCAGGTTTGTTCTGAGGATGGGGTGAAAGAATATTTGGTAAGGTAAATCTTATTAACTGTAACATGGTGCTAGTTATTAACTGTTATCCTATTAACTGTCAATACATAGTTAACTATTATTCACTATAGCCCAGCTGGGACCTGGCACCAGCAGCCTGTTGGGAGATGGAGCCACTGAGAAGCTCTTCTTGCGACCTCGAGGCAAATCCCGCCTGCAGCCCAGATGGGAAAAGGGCCAGAACCTTTGTCCCCAAAAGAGTGTGTAGAAGCGTTGGCGCCACCCCAGGTCCAGGTGATGCCAGAGTCCACGACGGTCACCAAATGAAGTGAACGTTGGGTTCACAGCACAAGGGGGTCTTAGGAATCCACGGGGCTCTCGCACTCCCTGTGCCACCCCTCTCACCACAGCCTCACCTGAGAAGTGGAGCGGGGTCCGGAGCTGCAGGAGGGCCATGTCGTAGTCGTGGCTCTGGGCACTGTACAGAGGGTGGGCGATGATCCGCTCCACCACAGCCCCCTGGTGCGGCCTGACCGTGCTGTGGCTGACCAGCCCCGCGTGGACCCGCCAGCTGGACCGGCGGGACAGCCTGAAACTGCACAAGGGAGCTGAGCTGAGCCTGGGGGAGGAAGGGGCCGGAGACGTTGACATAAATGAGTTGGTGGGGGGAGGAAGCCAACAAGCACGGCTGTTAGTGGGGGCCCCATCACCAGGCTGCAAGCTCCCAGAACCCAGGCCTCTTAGAATTCCCCAGCAGCTGGCAAGACACTGGGCATGCAGTAGGTGCTTAATAAATGCTCAGGCACTGATGGAGAGAGAAGTGAGACACTATGGTCATTGGCCACCACCCCTGCACTCTCCGGCATAACCCCCTTCAAGTTTTACAGCAACCATGGAAGGGGCCTTGTGTGATTATCATAGCTCTAAGTGAGTCAGCAAAGCTTTCCTCAGTGCTGTCTCCCCACTTCCTAAGTGTGATGGCTGGGGAGGCACTTCGGCTCTCCCAGCCTCGGTTTCCTCACTATAAGATGAGGATTACATCACCTGCCTTGCCCGCCATCAAGAGAAGAGGGCCGAAGAGCTCATTCATTCCTTCCAACCAGCATTTATTAAGCACCTACTACATTCCAGGCCACGGGGACAAGGCAAGGGAAAAATCAACAAAGGGATTCAGTGGTAAACAAGACTCTTCCCTGCCCCCATGGAGCTTCCAGTGTAAAGGGGAAGAAAGACATTAAACAAATAATTACATGGAAATTGATTTAATTACAGTGGTGATAAACGTCAAGAAGCATGGAGGGCTGTGAGTGCGAAAGCATTTTAAAAGCGTAAAGACCGAACAAAATTAAAGAACCAACATTTGTATGATGACTGCTATTTAGGCAGGGCTGTTCTTGGCACTGAACAGGGAGAATTTCACAAACACCGCCCGGGCCCGCTCTCAGCAGACACGGGAGGCGGACAGTTGGACATTGTATACAGGACACACCAACGGCCAGAGAGAAAATGCTAGGGGGAACCCTCCCCCCGGCAGCCCCCAGCCTTGCCTGTGCACACAGTGCGCCGCGGTCACCACCCAGTGTGGGGCCAGCACGGAGCCCCCGCATGTGTGCCGGGCACCCAGGGCCACGCTGGCCTGCCAGGGCCAGCGCCCGGGAGCCACCGCCTGCCCGCCCACTATCTGAGAAGCCAGGGGCCTGGTCCCACACTCTGCAAACAGACAAGCACGGGTGAGATGGAAAGAACGCGGGGTGGGTGTCAGCACTGTGCTGACTGTCGAGGCCTGTGGTGCAGCGTGGACGGCTCCCATTTACCATTCCTGGCCCTAAGCATGGGGCGGGAAGCTGGAAAGGTTGCTTACATCTACCTGCCCCATCAGGCGGTGCGCTCGCTGAGAGCAGGGGTGCTGCCTGCACCATCTATGGAGCCCCAGGATCTAAGAAAACGCCTGTCCCACAGGAGGGGTCAAATGGTGGCATGTGGACAGACGCGTGCAAGGACAGATGAAGAGATGGCTAGACGACTGCGAAGGCGGGTGAAAGGCACTCTGCAAACTGTCTCTCACTTGGCCCCTCTTCCCCACCATCCTTAGTCTCCAGAAGCTGCTGTTTCCCCTTTCCCCAGGGGCCAGGGAACGTCGGAGGCCAGGGCAGGGAGTGAGGCAAGGAGGTCATCCACCCAAACCAGTGGCTGGTGGTGAATGGGACAGAGGTGTAGACGGGGCTCTGTTTGGGCAGAACTCTGTCTGCAAGAAGGGGCCCTGCAGGCAGGTGGGCAAGGACCCCTACCCCAGACCCAACTGAGCTTCCCAGTGGGGATGTCCCACCCTGAGGGCATGGGGGAGATGCCCTCCTCCCACCGCCTCCTTCCCGGACCCAGGACAGGACTCACCAGAGCATCTGAGGGAAACAATTTGACCAGAAGTACAGCTGCCCCTGCAAAACAGAGGCAGTGCCAGCAGGAAGCTGGGTGGGGCCCACCCTAGGCTGCACACCCACCCGAGGGCCTGGGGGAGGGGGTCGTTGTTGGGGGAAGCAGTGGGGGCCTCTCTGTAGCCACAGCCACCTGCTTCCTGACCCCACCCAAGCCCCCAGGCCCCTGCTTGTAGCAGGTCTCTGGGACAGCAGCTGTGCTCTGCCCAGTCGTCCCGGGCACACAGGACTTCGTGGTCCTCCAGTTGGATCTGGGCAGGACCCAAAGTTACAAATGGAGCGTTCGTGAATGTGAAAATCCAGCTGTTCCCACTAAGGCCCGTAAGTAATGTGTACTCAGCGGATGAGTGGGTAAGAGAGTGAGTGAATGGACTCAGTTCTTCGCCCCGTGCTGCGGCCTCAGATGACTCCACTCTCTCCCAAGCCCTTCGCCCGGCCCTGTGTACTCATATGCCTGCTCTCCTCTTTCCCCTCCTCTTACTTAGCATAAACCTCAACTCCTGGGAGTTCCCTGGCGGTCCAGGGGTTAGGACTAGACGCTTTCACTGCTGAGGGCCCAGGTTCAGCCCCCGGTTGGGGAGCTAAGATCCCACAAGCCACATAGTGCGGCCTAATATAAATAAATACATTTAAAAACACACTATTAAAAAGGAAAAAACATCAACTCCTTTTGGACCAAAGCCCTCTTTCTTGACTTCTCTCTTGCCCCCAGCATCCTAATGCCTGGATTCTACTAGTTTCCCAAATCCACGGCCCCCCGGCTCTCCTGGCAGAGTCAGTCCCACTCCTACTTCCCTTTGCCCATCAAGGTATCTAAGACAGGGACCCCACGTTCCCCTGATCGGCCCACAGGGGACAGGAGCTGGACAGGAGGGTTCTGAGATTCAGGCGGGAACAGTGGTGAAGGGGTGAGAAGGCTTTAGAGCAGGGACAGGAGGAGGCTGCTGGAAAGCTGGAGGCCACCCAGGCAGGGTGAAAACCCGCTCAGCTTGCACCCACCCCCAGGATTTGGGGAAGGGGCCATCCCAGAGCCCTCTCTTCTCTGGAGGGTCTCCAGGGTCCAGATAGTTAACCATCTCTCTCCTGAGATAGCAGAATTATCCACATAAAGTGCGGCAGGGGGGAGAGGGACTAGTTTGGAGACAGGAACCTCGTTTCAAGACTTGCTTTGGCTGCTATCGGTTCTGTGACCTTGCACAAGGCCCTTTACTTCATTGAGTCTCAGTTTCCCCACCTGTAAAATGGGAATAGGAGTACCATTTCAAATCCTCCGACAATAACACCCAATCCTGCCGTTCTCGTGAGGGGCCAATAAGATGAAGTATGTGAAACTTTGGTGGGCGGGGCTCCTGTGAGCTGAGTCAGCAATTTCTAATTGGGAAATATTCCTCTTTGTTGTCCTGTCTTACACCTCCAGCGTCCTCGCCACCAGGCTCTCATGATAGGAATATTTTTGCTGCATTGTTCACCAGGAAGTGAGGGGCATCACTCAGCCCCCTGAGAAGCCCTACCTGGGCTGCCACACCTCCTCCGGGAGGCCTCCCAGTCTAGGAGAGAGCTGAGCAAACTGCCTGGAGCTGTTGAGCCTGATGTCAGACAGGTTCACTGCCTTGTGGTCTGTGAGTCTTGGCAGGAGAAGGGAATAAAACGGGAGGAAATCAGCTTTAAACTGACGATCAGCACGAGAGATGGGGGTTAAGTATAACCGGAATGTGATACTATACCAGTGAACAAGACTTTGACAATGACCTCTTCTGGGATTTATATTTGTTAAAAATCAAGGATGTTCAAAGGAGAGAAACAGACTGGGGCACCATCATGCCCAGAGGCCAGGAGATGACCAAAATGACCTCCTGAGTACTTTGATGGTGACAGACAGATAGAGGTCTTCAATGCTCCTCCCCCACCCACCAGCTCTCCACCCTCCCCAGGCCCCACTTCTGGCCCCAGCTACCTGAGATGGCCAAGGCTCCGGCAGATCCGTACCCCCAGGGCAGAGCTCCAGCCCTCATGGCAGACCAGGAGCCAGTCTGGCCGGGCCCTCACCTGCACTTCCAGCAAGAAGTCCTCGGTGTTTATTCTGAAAGACACTGAAACCACAGCATGAAAGCCACATCCCACCTGCTGCGAGAGGGAGGGGCGGCATGGGCAGGGCGAGCCGGACCTGGCCACCATGGGACCCAAAGAGGCCTTCACGATAGCATCTGGGTCACCCCATATCGAGCTCCCTGTTCCCCAGGGAGCCAGCCGGTTCCGAGAGCAAAATAACCCCTCTTTGCGCAGCCTTTTAGGTTTGTGTTTTAACCAAGTGCTTTTAAACGTGCTCCATCACTAAGTGTCACAGCAACCCTGTGGGGTGAGAATTCCCATCCTCCACATTCTGCATGAGGGAAGTAAGGCACGGAGGTTAAGCGACCCATCCTAGGTCACAGGATCTGCAAGTGATGGATCCAGGTCTTCTGATTTCAAATCTCATGACAATACTAGCGATGGTTCCTGTTCGTTGAGCATCTGCTTTTTCCACGCTCTGTGCTAAGCCCTTTTATTTTATGCTCTTATTATGCTTCCAACTTCAGGCGGTAACTATTTTCATCTCCACTTCATGGAGAAGGAAACGGAAGCTCAAAGCAGTAATGGAACTAAAGGCGCACACAGCTAGCAAAAGCAGGCTCCAACCTGACCCTAACTAACCTCTGTAACTGATTCTACCCGCAGCCTTAGCAGCACCGTATCTGCTGACCCTCAACTCTTACCTGGAGGGGAGGGGACAAGGTTTGGGTGCGGGATGCGGAGACAACGCGGCGAGACGTTCCCAGCCCTCTGTGTGTTCTTTGCCCTGGACCCAGACCCTTGCCGGCCCCGCGCTGGCCCCCACCCCCCACATCTGGCTTCTCTTCCCCACACCGCAGCCTCACGCTGCCCAAAGGGCGAGTCGCCATCTCTCCTGGCAGCCTGGGCTCTTGGCCATGCCCCCGCTAAAGATCAAGACCGTCCCCCAGGAGTGCTGAAAGCCCTAAATCAGAGGTCAGCTCTACAAGGCTGGGCCGTGGCTCCACCCTCACAGTACGGGAAACACAGGTGGGTGGCAGCGAACTCGTGGCCCTTCAGTTTGGTCCTCTTGCCCCGAGCCAGAAGGGAGGATCCCACAGCTGTGCAGGGGCCCGGGGCCCAGGTGGGAGTCCTGCGACCTTGGGGCGCGGCCCACCTGCTCTGGGAAGCGAGGGGAGCAGGGCTTCCTCATCGCTGGCCTCCGAGCAGTTTAAGCTCATATCCTCATCCTGCAGGGTCCCGGGAACAGGCTGAGGGGCAGCCGGCCACAGATACAGCGCTTCAGAGGACAAAGACAAGGAGAGGCTGGGGGAAGGAAGGGACTCCCCTAGGAGGGGGCCAAGGAGCAGAGCAAGGGACCTGCAGCAGAGGGAGGCAAAGGCAGCCTCGGGGGGGCTCCTCACCGCCCTGCCCGAGGCAGGCCCCCCGCAACGTGCAGAAGAGAGCCATTGCGCTCTCAATGTCTCTGTCTCTGTCTCTGTCTCTCCCTCTGACTGGGAAAGATCTCTTGGAGAAGTTTGACAAGGGCGTCCCTGGATCATCCACTCGAGCACATTTCTCACTGTAGGACTGAAATGTTCTTTACGGAGAGCCCGAGTCCCTCCTGCTGGCCCTTCACCCCGTTTCTACGTGCTGTCTACTCAGACTAGATGGAAAAGACGCTCATCCCACCTGCCTTGAACACCTGCTCAGCATCTGCTCCACTCTCCCAGCATCCCCCAGATCCTGTTCGTTGCCCGTCCCCTGCCACTGAAGGTCCCAGCACTGACCTAGAAGCCAGGAGCCAATGCTTGCACCAGCCAGCAACGCCAGGGCTCCGAACGCCGCCCAGCCGCGCCGCCCTGTGCACCAGCGCCCTGCCCAAGAGACTGTGGGGGAGGAGGGCAGAGGAGCATCTGGGGACCCTGCCTCCGCCTGCCAGCCGCTCTTCACCCCGAGGCACCACCCCGGGACCAGGCAGCCGCCGACTCGCAGCGGTAGTTTGCCCCACTGCACCTGCCCGCCTCCCCCGGCCCCATCATCCTGGGGTGGGTAGGGGGCAGAGGTCTGATCACTGGCGCCTCGGAGCCCACTCAAGCCCCCAAATGGGAAACAGCAAAAGCAGGTCTGGGATAAATAGTGAGACAGCCTCTCACCATCAGTCATTTAAGGCGGACCTGGGAAGGTCTGGGGAAAAAGAATCTGGAGGATGTAGGAAGATTGTCCCTTCACTGCCCCCACCCCGTCATTCCCCGATGGCCCAGTCTGGCCTACTGGGTTGCTGCTGGGCCTCGGGCCTCCGCAGTGGGTCTCCTGGCTCTGCTCTGAAGATCCAGGATCCTGGACTCTCCTCTGCATACTGAGCCTCCATGGGGGCTTGGCCATCCAGCATCAGGCTCTGGGGAAATAGCTGTCCGTCACTCACCAAGGAGAGAAATCACCACCGACCACAAGAAGTCCCCACTCTCTAACTCCAGCCGGGCCCTCATTGCCACTTGTGAGCCTTTTTTCATCTTGGGGACTCCATGTGTGTTCCCATAGATGCCCCTCGGGCCTCCCTGCTCTCCTGGAGCCCCTAGCCCCACCCACCTTTCTCTCACACAGCCAGTAAGTGTCAGAGCAGAGACCTGAGCCCAGATCGGGCCAACTCCAACGCCCGCACTCTTCACCACCCCCTTGGAAGTGGTGACATGGTGGCATGGAAGACATCCACTGAATCCCTGAACATCCCTCCTCAGATCCTAAGATCCCATCCTTCCTCATTCCCTCCTATCTTGGAGGAAAAACTGCCCCTCCCCTACGAACCATGCATTCATTCACCCAGTAAATAGTATTCAGCCCAAGTGGACAGTGCACGGTGGGGGATACTGTAAGTTCAAGGTAAATTAACATGGACCTCCACAAGCACCGCCTCAAAGAACCTACCTGTGAGTCCTGAAGATAAGTCATTAAACAAAGCAGCACAGGTTCAGTGACAGAAGAGAAGTTCAGTTTAACTAACATTGGAATTCCAAAGGAGAGCTTACTTCTTGTTGGGGAGATCTAGAAAGGCTTCCTGGAAGAGGCAGCCTCTGAGACAGGTCCTCATAGATGAATAGGGTTTGAACTGACATATATGGTCATTGGGTGTTCCAGGAAAGAGGTGTTGAGGAGGCAAAGGAATGGGAGTAAGAAAGCATAGAGTGGGGTAGGTCAGACATTTGCCTAAAATTCATGTGCCATGAAGAAGAGTAATGGAAAGTAAGATCTCGGCAAAAACACTGGACCAGCAGTTCAAAGCTAAGTCTACAGCCTACTATATGAACTTGGTAACTCATCAGCCCTCCAAATTTCAACTTTCTCCTTTACGAAATAAGACTGATAACCCCTGCTGCCCATTGAGTAGTCTCCCCCATCTAGCTTTGTCTCCATTCCTTCTCCACGCCAGAGCAATCTTTCTAAAATGCAAATATTAGCAAGTTAACACCGTCTTTAGAGTATCTAATGATCTTTGTAGCCTTCAGGGTAAATCCAAATCTCCCTTGCATAGCTCACAGCATCCTCTGTGATCTCGCCCCTCCTCGCCTCTTCATCCTCACCTGGCAGCACTAACTCCTCCACGGAGTAACTCAGGGTGATACTAACACACATGCCTGTCCTCAGCATCCTCTCACTCTCACCACGGAGGCGTGGCACCTGCTGTCCCCTTCCCCGCAGGCTGACTCCTATGACCTTGCAAGATTCAGCTTAAGTGTCATTTTTCCAGGAAGCTTTCTTCAACCCAGGTAGCACCTATTGTGACCCTCTATTATGCTCATTTACTTCTCTCTCTCTCTCCTTCCTCTCTGGTCTAGGCATCCCAGAGTCTAGCTCAAGGCCTAGAACAAAGTGGGAATTCAGTTAATGCACACTGAATAAAAGGAAGGAAGGAAGGAAGGAAGGAGGGGAGGGAGGGAGGGAGGAAGAAAACAGATTATGTGGCTGAAAGGGTTTTATAAAGTACAACACAAATATTAAGTATAATAAATAATGTATTAATAAGAAATACATATAAACTATGGGTCCTTTCTTTAATGAACTTACAATCCAGTAAAGTAGAAAGAGTCCCTTAAAGTTGAAGTAAGTCCCGTCTCCCCTGCAGACCACCTTCCCCTGTCAACACAGCCTGGTCTAGAGAGAATTTCAGAGCGTGCTCAGCCTTTCTTCCTGTCTCAGTATCAACGGAGCCTGGCTTGAAGTTCAGCCTCTGAACAGACTGGCCTCACCTTGGGAGCTGCCCCACCTCAACACTCACCTGTCCAAGGCCATGTGGTAACCTGCAAAAATGGTCTTTAATGGTACAGGACTTCTTCGTCCTTTTTTTGAGGAGGAGTTCATGTAATAATGATTCGCTAAGTGCTGCCTACAGGCAAAGTACCTGGCTAGGCATATGGGGGACAAGAGTGGGAAATAAAAGCCACACCTGGGGAAAATCAAACCAGGAGGTTGACCACATGGGTCCCCTCTAGAGCCCCCTCTCCTCTGCACCAGAGCTGCCAGAGGAGATTCCTTCCAAGAGCCTAGAATTCCAAGGGTGGGGTCAGGGGTGGGAGTAGAAAGAAAGAGAGGGCAGAGCAGGGTATGGCCTTACCATATGGGTCCGTGGCACCAATGCAAAACCTCAAGGTCTGCTAGGTAACGTTCTGCTCCTGTTCTTGGATCAGCATTGATTAAATAGCCCGGCCAGCTTGGTTAGAAGGTGAGGGCTCCCTAGCTCACACATGGCTTCTCCCTTCACCGTCCTCCCCACACACACACACACACACCAGAGAGACAATGAACTCTGCTCAGAAACCATGAATAGATCCCTTGTCGCAGGAAAGGGAGTCAAGGGCTAGCCTGGGCTGGGCAGCCCCAGCCCCTCCCATCAGCTAACTGGAAGCTTAGAAGCCGAGAAAAAGGTTAGGAGGAGGAGGGGAAGCCAGCTACTGTTGCTTAGCAACAAGATCCCTTGTGCCAAAAAGTGTGCCCCATACATGCTGGCACAATCCCCCCACTTCCTGCTGACAGGGCTGTATTCAAGAGACTGATATTAGCATTTGTTCAAATGTTTGAGTCCTCTGGACGGTAACTCAGTTCTGTGTGGGTTGGCTTTTCCAGCAGTCTGGGGCTATCACCATGTTGAAATTGGGATGTTGATGAGGGATCTTTGTGACCTGTCTCCTCAGGGCTGCACCACTCACTCCAATGCCAGGGAAATGGGGCCTCCCCACCCCACTGCCCTGGGGACCATTTCCTATAGGAGACCTCAGTGCTATGTTGCTTCAAAGCACAAGGTGGCCCAGCTGAGCCCAGGATGGGCTGAACACACCTGGGAGCCATATCTCTTTAGTCAAGGAGGAAGAAGAGGTCCCAAGGAAGGGAAAGACTGGTGTGGCTCTCCTTCCTCCAAATGCCTCTCATAGATCCCTCAGATGAGACAGTTAGGAACAGGGGCTTTAGAGTCAGGCCTTCATCCAACCCCAGTTCTGCCACTTCCCTTACTCAGCCTTACCTGTAAAGTTATGATAATATTACCTACCTCATAGGGTTTATGCTAGAATTAAATGAGCTATTGAATATAAAATTCTTAGCTTTATAGCTAGTATCTAGCACAGACTCTATTCAGTAAATATTAGCTGCTATTATTATTAACGATTACTGTTGAACCTCACTCACAATGAAGGGACAGAGGTCAGCTATGAGTCATAGAAGCAGGAGGAGAACATGGTGGCTGGAGCTGAGAAGCTCTTGGCTAAGTGCTGAGGTCTCCTAGGACAATACTCTTCAGCCTACAAATCTGTATACTTACGGTGTGTCATGAACTAGCCTGGGCATGGGGAATGAATAAGTCACAGGCTAGGAGCTTGCAGGCTGGGAGGAGAGACAGGAACAGATATAAAGAACTGTTGTTTTTTGTTCTGTAAAAAGTGAAATAACAGAAGCTTGAACACAGAGGTATAGGAGAATAAAGGAATAGCTGACTCTTTTGCTCAGAGGACCCAGAGAAGCCTTCACAATGGAGGAGACATTTGAGCTCAGTTTTGAGAAATGAGAAGGCAATCACATAGAAGGGCATTTCAAATATAGTGCAGAGATGTCAGTGAAAATGGGCAAAGTCCCCCCCAAATTGTCTCCTCCATAGCAATGAGAAAACTGCAAAAAATTTGTCAGAATTAACTTTTTTAGAACTCTGGAAATTAACCAAAGGCTTATAACAATATGGGAAGAGTTTATTAGAGAAAAATGACAGACCACAGCTAACATCATACTCAATTGTGTAAAGCTATAAACTTTTCCTTGAAGATAAGGAACAAGGCAAGGATGCCCACTATTGCCACTTTTATTCAACATAATATTGGAAGTCAAGTCAAGTCAAACTGGGCAAGCAAAAAAAAAATTAAAGGCATCCAACTTGGAAAGGAAGAAGTAAAAACTGTCATTATTTGAAGATGACATGATATTATATCTAGAAAGCTCTAAAGGTTCCATCAAAAAGCTGTTAAAATAAATGAATTCAGTAAAGTTTCAGGATATAAAATCAATAAACAAAAATCTGTTGTGTTTCCATAGACTAATAGCTATCAGAAAGAGAAATTAGGAAAATGATCCCATTTACAATTGCATCAAAAAGAATAAAATGCCTAGGAATAAATTTAACCAAGGAGGTGAAAGACCTGTACACTGAAAACCATAAGACATTGATACAAGAAATTGTAGAAGACACAAATAAATGGAAAGATATTTTGTGCTCATGGATAGGAAGAATTAACATTGTTAAAATGTCCATACGACCCAAAGCAATCTACAGAGTCAACACAATCCCTATCAAAATTCCAATGGTATTTTTCACAGAAATAGAGCAAACAATCCTAAAATTTGTACAGAACTACAAAAGACTCTCAAATAATCAAAGCAATCTTCATAAAGAAGAACGAAACTGGATTTCAAACTATATTACAAAGCTATAGTAATCAAAACAGTATAGCACTGGCATAAAAACAGACACATAGATCAGTGGAACAGAACAGAGAGCCCAGCAATAAACCCATGGTTGATTCATTTGTGACAAAGGAGGCAAGAATATACAATGAGGAAGGGTAGTCTCTTCAATAAATAGTGTTGGGAAAACTGAACAGCTACATGTAAAAGAATGAAATCAGACCTTTATCTTACACCATACAGGAAAATCAACTCAAAATTTATTATAGACTTATATTTAAGACATGATACTGTAAAACTCCTAGAAGAAAACACAGGGAGTGAGCTCCTTGACACTGGTCTTGGCAATGATTTTTTGGATTTGACACCAAAAGTAAAGGCAACAAAAGCAAAAATAAACAAGTGGGACTACAGAAAATTAAAAGGCTCTGCACAGCAAAAGAAACCATCAATAAAATGAAAAGGCAACATGTAGAATGGGAGAAAAATTTGAAAATC